TTGATAATTAAAGCTAATAGTTTCCTCTTCATGCATTGCATAAGGTTTAATTCAGCTTAGTTTAATCCCTTTATCAAGATGTCTTACTTAGCAAGTCTCAACTCTCAACCATTTCTATTTGTCATTCTTTAAATACTCATTGTCTAATAAAAATATCATCCTAATCCCTATCACTATCATCATCATCATCATCATCAAACTCATGTCTAATACACTCTTCCAAAATTTTCATCACCTTCGACTGAATTTACTATTCCTGAAGATCATGTGGTATTTCTTTAACAATACATTATTTACAAAGAACGTGTTGTAGCCAAATTTAATCTCGGAGAAACGGACACTCTAGCTTGGAGATATTTTACATTGAATGTTGTTGCATGTGGAGGATAGAATTGAAGTGTTTTTAATCCTCAAACAAATTAATTTTGGTTATTTAGGTTATTTCTTTCATAGGCTCAGAAACTGGTTACAAGATATGAATTTAGAAACGACATTTTATGACCGTTGGAATTTTAGATCTACAACGGAAAATATTTGTCCAACGCCTAATCCAGAAAACATTCATTGAGAAATGTTTAACATTATTTTTAAGGACAAAGTAACTTGTCATATTTACAGAGTTCAATATGAGATTCATGCTCTATTCGCACCTTAGGAAGAAAATATCATTGCTTATAAATTCTCATGTTTGCACTATTAGAAACATTTAGATTAAATTAATAATATGGAAATCATATTGTGTTTTGGAAATTTAATTTTGTATATTTATGTAAACAATCTAAAAAGTTCTGGTTTTGGTATTGTCAATGTGGTTTTCTTATATGGTTATAATGAAATTGTTTCTGATTTTGATTATAAGATATGTGAGCAATTGTGTTGTCGAAATTTAAGATTGTAAATGTATTTAATTAATATTATCGTAGTAGTCACTTCATTTGCCCTTGGCTCTTAACAGTCATTTCATTTCCCTCTGAATAGTCACTTCATTTTTTTTCCTTAAAATTAGTATAGTGCGTGTATCTAATTTGGGATCGTTGTACATGAAGAGGCACATATTTCATTAATTGGTTTTAGATAATTAAAAGACTGAATGTCTTTTTTGTTTTGATAAATTAAAGCTAATAGGTACCTCTTCGTGCATTGCATTAGGTTTAATTCATCTCAATCAATTCCATTTATAAAGATGTCTCAATTAGATCATTTTACCTCTCAAGTCTCTACTCTCAATCATTTTATTTGTCAATCTTCAAATACTCATTGTCAAATAAAAATGTCATCCAAATCCCTATCACTTTTATCATCATCATTATACTCACCGTCAAATACACTCCTCGGAATTCTTCAGTACCCTCGACAAAATTCACTATTTCGGAAGATCATGCGGTATTTCTTGAACATTACATTGTTTACAAAGAAAGTGTTGTGGCCAAATTTAATTTTGGATAAACGGACACTCCAACTTGGAATTTTTTACGTGGAATTAAAGGCTTGTTAATCCTCAAACAAATTGATTTTTGTTATTAAGGTTATTTCTTTCATCGATTCTGAAACTAGTTACAACTAAAAAAAGGGTTTTTAATGACAAACAAATTTGTCGGTATAAGCCTAAAAAGTGGTAGTTAAACTTTTAACTACGAAAAAAAATTTCATCGTCAAGTTGATGTAATAGGTTTCCTCATTATTTGTTATAAGGACAATGTTCGTCGTTAACAACTAACGACAATATTCATATATGTCGTTACTTAAGAACGACAAAAAATCTTCTCATCGTTATTTATTAACGACGATGCACCTTGTTGTCGTAATTAAATATCATAACATGACAAACTTTTATTCAATAACGACCACATTATCCCTCGTTAAATCATATAAATTATTCAAAATTTTGTGAAACAACGACGGTAAATGTTTGTCGTTTTATATGTATATTTATAACAAGGTGCTGCATTATTGTAACAATTATTTGAATCTGTATTTTTATGATGAAATAATTAATTAGTATAAACATAATATTTACAATCATGAATAATTTAATATTCAAGTAAAAAACAAAGTCATACATTAGTACGATCCATACTACACAATTAATAAATAAAAACTCCATGTCAAAGTTCTAAAGTAAACCTTATATTAATGCTAAATGTAATTATTTATTCTTAAAAAAAGGGGGTTGTTAAATATCGCCCTCGATTTTCCGACTAACGCCCGCAAATAAAATTTATTGTACAAGTTTGCCCTTATATAAAATAAAAGAATTTACCTCCCAAACACTACTTACCTCCCAAAACCCTCACTCCCTCTCCTCCCTCTTAAAAACAATTCTCTCTCTACACCAACACCACCACCACATTCTTTTACAACCCACCACTACCACCACCTCCTCTTTGAACCACCCACCACCAACTCCTCTTTTAATCACCCACCACCGCCTCCTTTTTTAACCACATACCACCACGCCCTTTAACCACCCACCACTACCACCACCACGTCCCACCAACCACCACGTACAAGGGAAAGGCGCGAAAATGACGAGGAAGGACAAGGGAAAGGCCGTCGTCGAAGGAGTCGTCGGAGACAAGGTGAGTATATATTTTTTTTTCTGGAATTGGCGGAAACGCCTAATTTTTTCGCTAGATCTGGGCTGAAACGCCTAGAATTTTCGTTTATCCATACGATTATACGAAAAATCTAGGCGTTTCAGCCTAGATTCGACGAAAAAATTGGGCGTTTACGCCCGTTTTTCGTATGATGTTGCTGTTGTTTATTATTGCTGCTGTTGTTGTTTAATTGCTGTCGTTGAGATGTGGGGTTTGATTTTTGGGTGTGTATTTTTGATGATTGATTATCAGTTTTGTGTTGCTATTTGTTTCAATTTGGTGTTGGAATTGATGGTGAGTTTAAGTATTTTTATCTCTATTATACGGTAATGATGAATTTATTTGTGATATGATTAAGTATTATATGGGCATATAATTTTCCTACAATCAGAAAAATTAAAGCTTTGTAGATTGAGATTAAGTTTTAGAGAAAATTAGGGTATTTATACTTGAATCTCAGTAGCTCGGCATAAGCTTTATGGTAGCAAAGAGGCATACTGAGTTGAATAAGTGAAATATGAAGCGTTGTGGTAACGACTTAGTTTTCTATTTAGTCATGGGTCATGGGATATGTTGAATTTCACTCCCCTTTAGGCTAATTAAGTATTGGAGTGTCAATTAGTGGGATCAGAGTACGCTGCCGTACTCAAATGTCTAGCTAAGTGTGTAAAATAAAAAGAAATCTGAAAATAGGACTACAGTAGACAAGGGAATCACAAGTGTGTATGTCAACAGAACCTAACTAAGACAAATTACATATATACGAATCCAGGAGAAGAAATCCCACAGCCCATGGGTGAAAAAGCAAACAAATGCAAGTGATCTGAGATAAGATTGTTGTTGAGTTTGTGTAAAAAATCCGTGTCTAATGTTATAATTAAATATTACTAGTAAAATATAAGTCGTAGTACTCCTTTGGTTTTTCTAAGTGTAAAAAGATAGGTATTATTGTTGTTATTGTTGTTTATTATTATTGTTTAATACTCGTAATGATTTTATTAAAATGATACATAGAACACATTATTGGTTTTCTTTTGTTTGCATCACCTATTTTGTTTTTATTATTAATATTATAATTTATTTTAAATTTAGAATGTAGTTGAGGGTTCTGGTCCACGACATGCTAGATCACGCGGTATTAACGCATCAATTAGGAGAGATAGGGGGATTAGTATACGGGAAGGTAGTTCAGTACCGAAGCGCGACAGGGTAGTGGGTGATTATGGGACTCCGGGTTCGGGTTCGAGTTCGAGGTACGAGGATGATGGACCTGAGGATGATGTAGATGAGGGTGAGGCTGATGCTGAGGAGCAGCCGCCTGTTGTGACGAGAGGTCCTGATGGGAGATTTACGAGTTCCCGACCACCTCGATCTGCAGCGACTTGGCTTGTTCAGGGGCCGATGGACGGTGGGCCCGAGGATGGGAGCGTTATACCTAGTTTCGGGGCCCATGTTGCTTGGTATATTTGGGATGGGGAAGATCGACGGTTTTTTCGGTGTCATACTAGAGCTGGTGTGTGTAGAGATTTGACTTGCTAGAGCGATTTACGGCTGCCACCACTACGCGGATACGACAGACTGGGTTGTTTCACCTGCCTAGCATTATGCACGACCACCTTGATTTTCCGCTGATTTCTGCCTTTGTTGAGAGATGGCAGCTAGACACGAACACATTCCACCTACCTTTTGGTGAGATGTCCATCATGTTGCACGACGTACACCACATACTTGGTATTCGGGTTGATGGGGATATGGTTGTCGGTGATCTCCCTAGTGACCAGTATTGGACATTGGTAGGTGGGTTATTACAGTTGACTCCGGAGGAGCTACAGGTCAAGACTCAGAATTCCATCTATAGGAACGGTGGCGTCCATACTGACCAGATTATTGCTAGGTGTCGTAGTGAGGAGTAGCTGGAGGCGGTTCAGGCCATTGGTTACATGTGGGTCCTTTTTGGTAACACTCTCTTTACTGACAAGAGCGGTACTCATACTCACCCTTCTTTTCTCGGTGAGTTGTGTATCGAGGATAACCTGAAGACGAGATACTCCTGGGGTTCAGCCACACTAGCGTACTTGTATCGTCAGCTCGGGCATGCCACCCGAAATGGATGTGATTCTATCGTGGGTTGTCTGACTCTTCTACAGGCTTGGATATACGAGTACTTTCCATGTTTTCGGCCTCACCAGGGTGTGTTGACACAGGACGTCCCTCATGCTCGTGCAGGGTTATGGGATGTTGGTATGACGCGGAAGCATCAACAGCGTCTCGTGTCCTTTCGTACTCGACTTGACCAGCTGGGTGACTATGAGGTATAAGTAGATACGTAATTACTATTTGTCTTATATTGATTTTATTTACAGTTGATTTGCAGGTATAACTAATTTGCAAGTATGTTGGTTGCCATACGGTGCTTTTCCTGCACAACAGGTACCTAGGACTATGTTTACTGGATGTATTCGCTATCGAGGCATCATAGAACCATATATGCCCGATCGAGTTGTTCGACAGTTGGAGTTTATACAGGAGATTTCCGGTGACATGATTAGGCCTGATGATGCTCAGAGACCACTTAGTGTGAAGTCTTATAGGGTCAGTTTTTCAGCTCAGATGACCACTCTCATGTGGGATAGATTTGTCCCCGGTGCTGCGTTCAGTCTTCTTCTTAGTGGATATACTAGAATTCCACGTGGCGGACATACTAATTGTGCCCCTGACTACCTACCATGGTTTGGGAGAGTTAGCCATCCTATCGTCACTCCTAATGTTGAGGATGATGTCGGTCTTCCTAAGAGGACCAACGTTGATTACGTAAGTTTTTTGTTAGTTTTTTTTTTAATTTAATTATTTTTTTCCTATTATTTCTATTAATACACAATTATAATGGTTTGTGTAGTGGGTAGGGCAATTCATGGTTACAGCGCAGCGATCACTTACTGAGTACCCTACGCTATCAAGGGACACCAAAGTAATGTTAGAGCAGGTGATTAATGATTTGAATACAATAAATGGACTTAGAGATTAGGTGTAATATGTATTCTAGCTTTGACTTTATTGTTTTATTAGACTATGTTCTGGATGTTGTTAGTGGACATTTATGTTTTATCACATTTGTTGAGAATTATCAAGTTGACATTTATATATTATTATTTTATTTTCTAATTACGTAGTACTTACTCAGTAAATTTTCAAGAGAATTGCTTAAAAAAAATTAAAATAAAATCATCATGTTTATTAATAAAGTTATATAAAGTTTAATAAAAATCCATAACAGTACTCAAGAGCTAACTAATGTCTGCCACAATTGAAGCCTTCTCTCATACCTTGCCTCCCATCCGTGTACACTTGCCTGTCGAGCGTTAAACCACATTGGTGAAATTGGAGGAAGTGGGTGGTCTTGATCCATATGCAAACGAATGGAATGCGATCCACCAACAGTTCCAATCACGAACTCTGCACTAGGCCTGTCTAAGCATCCACGATTGTTCAACGGTAAAACAGTGGTAGATGGATAGTAGCACGATGGTCTATTTCCTACTCCATAACAAATCACTGCCACATTCCATATTGTGGCAATAGCAAACAAATCCTACTGTGCTACCATCCAATGCTCCTATCCACACGCATCACCATCCCATCTGATCCGGTCTACCTCCCTCTACAATCCTGAACCAACCTATTGACCCCATATGTCGTAGTAAATCATGATGTACAACCAAGGATGAGAACCAACCTCATTTGCGATATGATGTCGAACCAATCGCCATTCCTCCTGATCTCCGTAACAAAAATTTGCTACGCAACGAAATCCGTAATTCCCATCTCCAATTACATCCTTAACACCTACGATGTAAGGTTGGGAATCGCGTAGCTGTATCTACATTGTCGCATGTCGAACCCGGTACCTACAAAATAAAAAACATAATATGACATATAATTAAGTTATTACACAAAATAAATTAAAATATACGATGTATGAAAACATTATTTAATTATATCGATAATCACCTGTATCAAATGGGGGCGGTCTACTTCTGGATCGATTATCTCGCCCATTACGTTGAACATGCTCAAAAAACGAACGATCTCGCATGTTCCTTCTCTCGGGAGGTCGTCCCCTTACTCGAGGCTCCTGAAGGTCATCGTAGTTAGGATCCATCTCACCCTCAATCACTCGAGACACGTGCCTAAGCATCACAGGGTCGCTGGCAATAACCTGATCAACAAAGGTGCGGAAATAAGCTCGATCCTCATCATTTTCATCAACTATATCAGGAATGTCGACACCCGCTCCAATGACAAGGGTCCTCCAATATGGATGAATGTCCTTCGTATACAACCCCTTCCCTGCAGTAATCGAGTCATATATTTGGCACGCACAAGGTAACACGTGGGTAGTACGTAGAGCACACCCACAACGTCGATGGACATCCGTACTCAACCCTCGCATCCTGTTCGTCTCACCAAGAAGAATAGACAGACAATTGTGGGATACCTTTCCGTTCAGCTGCTGCAAAGGCTTCTGCTTGTACTTCTAACCATGAGTTGCTCTACATGCCTCCAACCCATTACGAATGGCTATGATCTGGTTCTCAATCGAGCAGTACACCTGAGCCTAAACTGTATCTAAAGAACCTGTAGAACTGTCAATCCAACATTTCAATGCCGAATGCTGGATCTTAACCCTGCAGTTGTTAACATTGCCAAAGTGCAGTACCTGGTTCGTCCAAAACATCACAAACTTCTCCTTGTGTATGAGCCAAGTGTCCACAACATAGCCAATCGCTTTCGGCCATCGACCCCACTTGGTTTTCAGCTCTACAAGCTCTCTTTCATATGCCTCTTCAGATGTAGCATTAATCACATGCCTCCACCTCCCATTTTTGAACTTGGCACCAATCTCTTTCTTTTTTTCAAACATGGAAGTAACCTTCGCCTCAACATCTTTGTTAATATGCCACACACACAGCATGTGTTTTGTGTTTGGAAACACGCTCTTCAACGCTGCACAAAGGCCAAGCTCCCTATCTGTCAGTAGTACCGACGGCTCTCTATGATGACCAATCAACAACCTCAAGCACTGAAGCCCCCACCGATAACTTTCTTCGGACTCCGACCTCATGAATGCGTATGCAACAAGAAAGTTCTGATTTGTCGGTGTAACCCCAACAATCTCAAAGAATGGCATGCCGTATCGGTTCGTCTTGTAAGTGGAATCCATACCTATCACGTACGAGTATGTGCGTAGCGAATTTGTCATGATCGGGTGTGCCATGAAAGCATGTTGCAACACATTGTTAGTATCAGTCACAACCCAAGTAAGGTATTTGCTCTGTCAGGCCAAATGAAGCACCTGGTGAACCACCTCTCTTCCCTCGAATCGCTCCATTCTGATATTACTTCTGCAGTTGTAGACATGCTTGATGTTTGGATGGTCTCCGGGAAACTTTTCTACAAGAGTTCTCATGATATGCCGAGGTGGCACCTGTGCCTGAGTCATATCACGTACTACCTGCTTAGCAGCAAGACTAAGACCGCTGATTTGTCGATGTCCTTCGGGATACACAACCAAAGAATGATTGTGAGTGTCGTTCAAGCAACTGAGCTTCCAACCACTTACTACTCTGACATACTCAACCTTGAGTTTGAAGGGACAACTGTTTACCTTGCTTTTCGTGTCTTTGCGTATCGTGTTCATCATGTCTCTTATCATGCTCTTTTTTCCACGATCACAACTCACATATCGATACGGCCGACCACTCCGATCAGTCTTGTAAGAAGCCTTCACTAACATAAATCCGAGCGGGCGTTGTGTCCACAGAAAAGCATCCTCAAAACTCGGAAACACAGTGTCTGTCAAAAAATTTCCGCTATAGTCCACACCATCACCATCCTCGGACTAAGAATCCTATATAATAATAATAAAAATAAACAAATATTAATAAAAGTTGACAAACAACAAAAACACAACTACTAATAATAATCTAACAACGTACAACTAATATAATAATAATTCCAACAATACACAACTAATTATAATAACAACTAAAAGGTGTGATCCCTCACTTATAAACGATTGAGAATTTTATAACTAGAGAAATTAATTAAGTAGAGTAATTCAAAACGACCCTCAACAAATTCGTAGTATATAACTATAATTTTTTAAACAACATACTTATGAACAATACAAACAATAACATATTAAGATTGATAGAACGATACGACCCTCCTAAACAAATTCGATGCCTTTTGAACAATTCATCCAAATACAAACAATATATTTTACAAATGATCTTGGTCATCTTTCAAAGTAAACCAATCGGAATTGATAAAAAATTCAAAATTTTCTAAACGCCCATAAATTTCGAAAAACCTAGGCTGAAACGCATAGTTTTTTCGAACTACCCTAGGGTATCCAAAAAACTAGGCGTTTCAGCCTAGGTTTTTCGAAATTTCTGGGCGTTTACCTGGAAATTTTGAAAACATAAAATTAAATAATCGGTATTTCGAAAAAAAATTTAAATAATCGTACCGATTCCGTACGGTCCGACGAGCCTCCGGCGACCAACGTAGGTGGTGTTTCCGGCCTTTCGTTGTCTTCCATGAGATCCGACGAATTAGGTTTTGCAAAATTTAAATTATTTGTTTGATTTTGAAAATTATAGTGGTTGGTGGTTCAACGCGATCGTTGGTGGCCGGTGTGAGCACTAGAGAGAACGGTAAAAAATTTTATGTAGGGTAAAAGTGTTAAGTTCATGTAAAAATAATTATTTTATAATATTTTTATAACAAGGCTACATACATCATTTTACGTTATTTTGCGGGCGTTAGTTAGAGATCCGAGGGCGACGTTTAGCGTTCCACTAAAAAAACTAAATAATAATTGAAATTTAAATCTATGGGCTTGACCATCAAAGCTCTTCAAGCACAATCAGGTACTCGGAGTTTGTGTGTTGGAACCATTGTTCGAAAACGAAGCATTGAATTGTTTTATCAATGTATCTTTCAACATGTTCATTTCAGCTTCAACCAAACCCATGCGACTCTTAAGTTCGGTGTTTTCTTCTTGAATAGTCTCCACATAATTTGTAAGATCTTCATTTTTTTTTGGGCTGCAGTCAACTCAATTTGAAGCTCTTCTCTACTTGGTTGTGGTCCAATCATATCTATTAAAGTTATTCCTCCTCCTAAACCAACAACACGATCTCGAGACTTGGATTTTAAAACCTTTTGTGCAACCTAAGTTTCAAAAAAAGAAATTAAAGTATGGTACCGAACACAAAATTAATCATAGAGAAAATTACATCAAGATACAAATAAACAAATTAAATTAATAAAACATCAAATAAAATCTGTTTTCGAGAGTCAACAAAAGACAAACAGAACAAATCTGCTCACACCGAACCATTGATGAGCTACCTAAATCAACAAGACAACCTGACAAGAGCAACAACCAAAAGGTAATACAAACTAGTACAAACATCCAAAAGACTATGCTGAAGCAACACAACATACATTATTTATTCTTAAGGAGATAGCATAAATGATATGTAATTGATTGGTTAGTTAGTCACTCAATTCCATCTGCAATAAAATCACTAAAGCAGGCCTCCGTCAGTTTCTGTTACTAATCAAAGCCCACTAAATTAATTAAAAAGTCATCAAGTAAGAAATGCTAACTGATTATCATCATTCATGATCCAGACTATTAATAATGGTGTACTGAAATGCTAGAATTGTTAGTATAGGATCTGGTACATTCCTGAAAGAATATCAATAATCGACTTAAAACTGGTCAAAACATCATGTACATCAAGCTTGAACTCCATTAGTAGATGGTTTAAACAGGTTTCTTTATTACTTGCAATTAGCTGTAGGTTTTTAAGGTGATCCTAGTTCTTTTTGCTATATAAAACAGACATCTTTAGGCCATCTAGAAGTTAATCGCACTGATATTGACCTCTAGAAGTGAATCCAGGGAACAGAAATGCAGTTGGGGTTGGCAATTGATAACCAAAAGGCCACATTATCAGTAAAGAGGAGGTTAGCATGCGAGGAGCAGACCTTATTCACCCAGGTAAAAGTTCTAGTAGCGTGCACCTCATTCAGGTCAGCAAAACAGGTTATCCCTAGGCATAACAGGCCTGGATACTCCGAAAATAGGAAACGGTGCATGAAGAGGACAGCTCTGAGAACCTTGATGAATCCGAGTTCTTATCAACTAAAAATTGGCAGTTACTTTCTCTTTCTAATAGCCTAAAGTCCCAGGCTACTGCTACCCCAGAACGAAGAGAAAGGGAAATAGTTGAACTCTTTAATAAGGTTCAGGCTCAACTTCAACAAAGAGCAGTTGAAATTTACCTTATGTCTTTGATGGGTATAGAATGGCTTACTTCTGATGACACTTGGATTTTTCTATTTGATTTCATATAATTGGATTCTCTGCCTTTTTTTAGATATAACTAACTTATATAACATATTCAATTTTAGTGTTAATATCATGGACCCAAGTAACCCAGCCCTTCATTCAGGTCAGCCACCTTACTCAAGTCAGCCACCCCTTCAGGTTTATGCTAGAAGAAAGAAAAAACTCAAGGGGACAGAAGTACAAGCAGCAGAACAGCAAAATCAGAACAATAGAGTAGCAAAATCAGAACAGCAAAATCAGCGAGCACTAAGGGGAGAGGGAAGTGACTGAAATTCTGATTATATGATACCATTGGCAGTTACCTGAAGTAGTCCACAACATTTAACAACTCACATGAAAAGAGAGTAATAGTTACCTGGACAAAGGAATGTGATGGTTCTTTTTCCATTGTTTCTTGAATTTCAGCCTACAGCATAAGCATGACCGAATTAATATTACAGAATAAGAAACTTAAAAAAAAAGAAAAAAAAAAAAGAGAGAGAGAAAAAAGTTAACCAAAGTAAATGAAGTACATACATGTTTCTGGATTGTCTCCGCGTTTGGAAGGCTATTGCCTTTTTTGCGAGTGGTATAAAACACATCAACCAGAGTAGGTTTATTCCCTTTACTTCCTCCCTATCATGCCATGTCACATTATTGTTATCCCAAGCATATCAGACATTCTGAAATCAAATTAAAAAAATAAACTAACAAACTAATTATATACCAGATCGTCCCAAATGATTTGCCTAATAGGCTTGCTCCCAGTACGTGGCATTAACGCTTTAGCATATTTACTTCGGTTAACAGAGTTTCTTTCACTTCTTTTCTGAAAAAAAAATTATCATCTAAAAAATATTCAATACATATATTCATACTATCTGCTCAAGTAAAAAGTACCTTGAAGTCATCCTTTGAAAAAATTTCCTTTATGAGCCACCTCCACTCATGCTTATCAAGTCCCTTAGGTGGATCACCTTTAGCAGCAACTTATAAAGATAGTTTTTCTTTGCAACATTATACCTTAATAGATCTCCTCTCCAATTTGTCCACAACTTTTTCATATGCCAAGAACATGCTCCTTATAAGTGTCCATGTTTTCACTTGTGAAAACATCCTAAGAAAAGATAATGTTATGAAGTGTTCAGAATATATAAATAATGTATATAACATCCAGCAACCCGTAAAAACTGGTCTTAAACAATTCTCACTCGACTGAATAAATAAAACAAAACTTGGCAAACAAAAGTAAAAGCATCAAAATTATTTTCTTAATCCTTACTGTGACTGCTGTCCACATGTGATCTTTTTCTCTGTCCCCATTATCATCCCATTAGCGCACTCTTAGAGGACAAATGTTAGTATCTCGGACTATGATCCCCAAATGTCTTGAAAATACTTTGTGATTCTCCCCTATGGCTCGATTGTTGATGAACTCGATATGTAGCTTCTCATTGGGTTTTAGTCTAGCAATTTCTTTACATTTGTTTCTTCCTCTTTTTTTTTCCATTCCCTGCTTTCTTCTTAATAGTAGATTGGTGAAAAAGCCTGTCTTGCTTGGCTAGCTAAGATAAATGGTTCATTAGTTTTTAATTGCTTATTGCAATTAACAGTAACAATTCCATATTTGTCTTCTTTTATTCCTCTAAGCTTATCAAATACATCCCACCATTTACAACGAAATAAAACAGCTCAATTTCCACCAAGATATTGCATCTCAATTATATCTGTTACTACTCCATAATAATCTATGTTATCATCTCTTTCTCCCGTGTTTCCAATCACAACCACTCCACTATTTTGTGTTCTCAAAGCGTTTTCGCGATTTTGTATGTGAAATCTATACCCATTCACAATATAACCACCAAAAGAGGTTACATATTGGGTTGGGCCACGTGATAGTGAAAGGAGATTTTCTATTTCTTTGCTCTTATTAGTCTCATATAACCGAGCAACCTACCAGAGAAGAAAAAAGAAAAAAAAAATTAATATAGTTCAAGTTTCAATGATCTAAAAATCTGATGAAAATTCAATGGCTTACTTCTTCTTTAAACCATTTTTTAAAATTCTCACTCCATTCCTCCTCAGATAATCCATTGTTTGTATTAGCTGAGAAAAATTTCTGGAAAAAAAAAAAAAAAAAAAAAAACTACAGCAAAGAAAAAAAAGAAGAAACTTACTAAGGCTAAGAGTCTTAATCAAGGAACGGTTGAACCTCATCACAATTCTTCAAAATATAATTATGAGCTTGATCTAACTCACACTTTGGAACATCAATGATATTTGGAGCACCTAAGCCTCGACCAGGATGACTAAATTTAGGCAAGGCCTCATCACCACCATATGCATTTTCATAATTTCGCTCAAGACGATTAAATCTAGTTTCAACATTCTGCATGTACCTTGAGCAAAGAGTTATGCACTCATCTGCTAAATATCCCTCTACGATTGAAGCCTTTGGATGAGCCCTATTCCTTATATAAGAGTTAAGCTTGTACATATATTTTTCAATAGGATATATCCATCTGAACTGAACAGGACCCGCAACTATGGCTTCACTAGCTAGATGAATAGGCAAATGCATCATCACATCAAAGAAAGAAGGAGGAAATACTCTCTCTAGTTTGCAGAGAGTAATAGGAATTTGAGACTCTAGTTGCTTCAACTCTTCCACATTGATTACTTTAGCACATAATATAGTAAAATACCTCAAGTGGAGTTAGTAGGCCACGCATTGCTAAAAGGAAGAAGATGTTCGAGTATGACATGGTAATCACGACTCTTTAAACCTAAAATTTTGGCCTCCTTAGAGTTAACACAGTATGATATATTAGATGAAAAAACCATCAGGAACCTTTAACTCTTTCAAAGAGGAAAAAGTAAATGGGGCTGGTGGCATCTTCCATTTGTCCCCTTCTTTGGTTGGATGCAATGATGGCCTCAACCCCATAACCTGTAAGTCATGACGAGATTTTATGGTGTCTTTTGTCTTCCCTTTAATATTCATCATCGTACCAAGAATTCTTTCACATATGTTTTTCTCAATATGCATACATCCAAATTATGTCATAATAGATGTGTCCTCCAATATGGAAGCTTAAAGAAAATGCTTTTCTTATTCCAATTGTCTCCCCTAAGCTCATGAGATATCTTTGTCTTCACTCGTGGATCATTAGACAATATGATATTTTCTAGATCCTTTAGCTGATGAAGAATTTCGTTGATTGAACAAGGCTTTGGAGGTAAACCCTGCTTAATTGTTCCATCAAATGAAGCCTTATCCTTTCGCCATCTATGATTCTTTGGCAAATACACTCGATGGCCCATAAAGCATTCTTTGGCCCCATGAGATAGCCTCTTCGACCAGGTATCTTTAAGACAACAAGGACATGCTAAATTCCCCTTAATACTCCATCCAGATAACATTGCATACACTGGAAAATCATTAATTGTCCACATCAAAGCTGTGCGTAGTTGAAAATGATGTTGAGTTGCTGCATCAAAAGCATTTACCCTAGTGGCCCATAAGTACGTCATTCAATTCCTCGATTAAGGGTTGCAGATATACATCAATTGCGTTACCCGGACCTTTAAGACCAGGAATACGCATTGATAGAATCATATTTGACTGCTTCATACAAAGTTCAGGGGGTAAGATATAGGGAATAAGAACCACTGGCCAAATACTATAGTTGGTTTTCGAATTTGCAAAAGGTTGAAAACCATCACTAGCAAGCCCTAACCTAACATTTCGAGGATCTGATGCAAAATCAGGAAACTCTTTGTCAAATGATTCCCAAGCCGATCCATCTACAGGATGTCTCATCGTACCATCTTTCTGCTTTTTGCCATGTTTCCATGTCATCAAAGAAGCAGTTTTAGAGCACATGAATAGTCTTTGAAGTCTTGGTTTTAGAGGAAAGTATCGCAGTGTTTTTTGAGGTATTCTCTAACCATTTTTCTTACATTTGTCCTCCCCATTATGTTTGTCAGTTTTCCATCTTGAAGCACCACACACATTGCATGCATCCAACTTCTCATTATCCCTCCAATATAACATGCAATCATTGACACAAGCATCAATTCTCTCATATGAAAGCCCCAAATCTTTCATGATCTTCTTTGACTCATAGTAAGAATCAGGAAAATTTGATCCATCGGGCAAAAGATCCTTCTTATGGAAAACTAATAGCATGGTAAACGATTCATTACTCCAGCGACCAAGAGTCTTGATATGAAGGAGATTTAAGAGTGCGGACATTCTAGAACTCTTGCAACCTTCATAAACTGGATCTTGTGAATCTTTCAGCAAGCTATAGAATTTCTTAGTGTCGGCATTTGGCTCATTAACATTATTGACATCAATGGGTGAACTCCCATCACGGTACTCTGGATGAAGATCCCGCAAGATGCTAAGCATTTCATCATGGTCTTCATGATCTCTCCCATCAGCCTCATCATCATCAGAATCAAGTTGAGTCTCATCTAACTCCTCTCCATGATGATACAAAAAGGTATACCTTTTAACTACTCCAAAAACTAGTAGATGTTCTCTGACTTTTTCACGATTACCAGACTCTCTATTCATACATTGACAACAAGGACAACGTATTATCGACGAAGTTTTTAACTTTTGAAATGCATAGTCTAGAAAATTATCTACTCCCTCCACATATAATGGGTCATTAACATAATCTTCAATGGTCATCCAATCCTTACTAGGAGTCATTTTCTATAAGAAAAAGAAAAGAAAAAAAAAAACTAACATAAAATAAGATAAAACACAATAATCTCAAATATAGATGGAACTAAGATAAACAAAACTATCTTTACAAAAAAATAAAAGTAGAAACAAAACTAAGTGTCTGATTATACTTACATACTTGATTATGTTTCGTCGTAGTAATTATAGCTTAGCAAATTATAGGTCTAGTTAATGAAACCTTAGGTTACATACTTGATTATGTTTTGTCAGCACTCATTTTTTTATTTTACAATCTTTGTAATAAAGATAAAACTTTCGTCCATATAAATAGAACCATTATTCAATCACTTAACTTTATCTCAAAAATATGTTTATTACCTACTTTAAGAGTTTGAGACATCATTATTGATTTCCTAGAAATTACAAAAAGACCTGCAACTTTGCAACTACTCTGAAGCTAATCAAACTCAAAATATAAAACAATGTCACTAAAAAAGAAATTAGAGTCAAGAGTAGTTAAGTGAGTGTTTAATTTGATAAACTTAATATCATTAGAATGAACCAGTGGTATGTGATTGTCTTTTGGGAATTCAACAATTCTTATAATCATACTTTAATATCCAATCTTAAATTGAGAGAGTTATACAGGTTATTCTACTGTTCTCAAGTTATACCCATGTCCTTTTTCAATAACTTATCATACAAAATTCATTAAAACACCCAAATTAACAAAGCTGTCCTTTTACAATACATATCAGAGCTTCGAATCAACAAATCTTGTGAATTTTTTTTAACTAATACTAAAAATATACAACCAAATTTAGGATGCATTATTGGAGCTTATAGCATTGTGTTGTCTCCCCTTCTTTTATTGCCAGGAAATCAGAAATTAGCAATTCAGTACAATAGTTCAATAGTTTGAGAGAAGAAAGGTAATTCAAGGCTTATGTGTAAAGAGATATAAATGTGCGTTCTGGTCTGATACAGCTACTTTGTACTTCAGAAAAGGTCTTATATGGACGAGGAGATATAAATCCAGTTGGGCTAAGGGAACTTTGTAAATCTAGTGTGCTACTCCTGCAGTTGACTACTCTAGATTGTTTACATGGATCCTATAAGAAGAAAGTGCTCTGGCTGTCATTGCAGCAGTGGTGTATCAAGTATAATTATATGAAACTTTAGAAAACAAGGCTTTGTGGGATTTGAAGGTTGCTATGATTGATACAGCTGCAGAGGAATAATGAATACTATCAAAAGCAAAATCAAAGGCATCGTGGAGAAAAAGGTTACAAAGAATGCAATACAAATGATAGCTTGTTCCCCACCATAAATTCATTATGCAATTATTCAATTAAATTCATTATTCAGTTAAATTCCTTATTCATTATTCAATTAAATTCGACAACTTTGCACAATATTATAGAAAACATGAGAAAAATAAATCCATATACATACATCAAATCATCAAGAAGTTGGAATGTGAACATGCAAACAATTAAAAAGTTCAGAAAATTAAAATCAAAGTACTTTTTAACATAATTTATCCGACCAAATAAGCAAATAGCATAATTCAATTGAGAAGCAAATGAACAAATTATACTATGAAAAAGGGGAAACTAACGAACCTGATTATCAACAAAGCATAAGAGCTAACTTAATCAAATTAATTATTCAGATTTATCATAGCCATAATTGATTCAAACCCAATTTATACACATTAACTATAGAAAAACTCCTAACTATCAACAGATTAACAAAAATTGATTCAAACCCCAATTTGATCTTATATAATTCAATACAAATATAGAAACTTACCGATCGAAAGTCTGAAATCAACCCCTTTTAGCTTCAAATTTGGAAAATTGATGAGCCAATAGCAACAATTACGAGCAGGTCTTGAAGATCGATTTTGATTTTGAGTGAATTTAAATTGTGCGTGGAAACTTAAAAGGATTTTGCTTGATTATTAGATTAGAAATTATGAAAAAGAAATAAACTGCAGGAATAAGTTAAAAGTTTTGCGTTAAAATTTTTAGAAATTAATTAAAGATAGAAAAGGTAATTCACTTTTAGCGCTTTCTAAAATTTTAGCCCGCGTACTGTTTAACGACAGACCAAATTTTATTTATTTTTTTTTTTAATTCTTTTCTCAAATTATTAACGACGCACATATCATATCATTAATATTAAGTACGGAAAATACTCTTATCATTCACGAGCAACATTTTTCGTCATAGTTATAAAGTGGATAAATAGTGCTTTCAAAGACGAAATTTTTAGTTCGTCGTTATTGAATTGTCGTTAACTATATAAATTCTAGTAGTGTATATAAGATAGAAATTTTAAAACGGCATTGTACAACCGTTGAAATTTCATATCTATAATGGAAAATATTTGTCCAAGGCTTAGTCCAGAAAATATTCATTGGGAAATGTTTAGCGTAATTCTAAAGGAGAATGTAACTTGTTAGATTTGCGGAGTTCAATATGAGATTCACGCTTTATTCGCACCTTAGAAAGAAAACATCATTGCTTAAAGATTCTCATGTTTGCACTATTATAAAAATTAAGATTAAATGAATAATATGGACATCATATTGTGTTTTGGAAATTTAATCTTGTAATTTATGTAAACAATCTAAAAAGTTTTGGTTTTGGTATTGATTCTGAGTTTCTGTCAATGTGGTTTTCTTATTTGGTTATGTTGAAATTGTTTCTGATTTTGATTATGAGATATGTGAGCAATTGTGTTGTAGAAATTTAAGATTGTAAATGTATGTTACTCCCTCCGTATTTTAATAAGTGTTACACATTCTAAATGCGGCCGTGTTTTAATAAGTGTTACACTTCCTTCTTTGACAAAAAACTACATTTAAATATAATATCACTCTCCTTTCATGGTTCCCACTCAAACCCATTACTACTTTTTTTATTATTTCTTTTTTCTCATATTCATTACTTTTCAATAAACTTTTAACTCCACTATCTTTCTTTTACAATTTTTTTAATACTTCAACTAACCCACTAACCTCTTATTTTATTTAAGTATATTATATTGCCTAAACTATGTGCCGGTCAAAGTGTAACACTTGTTAAAACACGGAGGGAGTAATTAAGATTATCGTGGCTGTCACTTCATTTGCCCTCTAGTGATTTCATTTTCCCCCAAATAAGTATAGTGCATGTATCTAGTTTGGGATCATTGTACATGAAGAGGCACCTATTTCATTAATTGGTTTTAGATAATTAAAAGACTAAATGTCTTTTTGGTTTCGATAAATTAAAACTAATAGTTGCCTCTTCGTGCATTGGATTAAGTTTAATTCATCTTAATCTATTCCCTTCATAAAGATGTCTCAGTTAGATCATTTTACCTCTCAACTCTCAATCATTTCTATTCGTCATTCTTCACATACTCATTGTCAAATAAAAATGTCATCCTAATCCCTATCGCTATCATCATCATCATCAAACTCACCGTCAAATACACTCCTCGAATTCTTCAGCACTCTCGACATAATTCACTATTCCTGAAGATCATGCGGTATTTCTTGAACATTACATTGTTTACAAAGAAAGTGTTGTAGCCAAATTTAATATCAGAGAAACAGAGACTTCAACTTCGATATTTTTTATGTGGAATGTTGTTGTATGTAGAGGATAGAATTGAAGGCTTGTTAATCCTTAAACAAATTGATTTTGGTTATTTAAGTTATTTCTTTCATAGGTTCCGAAACTGGTTACAAGATAGGAATTTAAAAATGACATTGTACGACCGTTGGAATTTCATATCTACAATGGAAAGTATTTGTTCATGGCTTAGTCCAGAAAACATTCATTGGGAAATGTTTAACGCAATTCTTAAGGAGAATATAACTTGTCAGATTTGTAGAGTTCAATATGAGATTCATGCTCTATTCGCATCTTAAGAAGAAAACATCATTGCTTAAAGATTCTCATGTTTGCACTATTATAAACAATAAGATTAAATTAATAATATGGACATCATATTTTGTTTTGGAAATCTAATCTTGTAATATATGTAAATAGTTTTGGTATTGATTCTGAGTTTCTGTCAATGTAGTTTTCTTATATGTTTATGTTAAAATTGTTTCTGATTTTTAATCTGGGATGTGTTACCAATTGTGTTGTCGAAATTTAAGATTGTAAATGTATATTAATTAAAAATTATCGTGGTTGTCACTTCATTTTCCTTATAGTCATTTCATTTTCCCCCAAAATAAGTATAGTGCATGTATCTAGTTTGGGATTATTGTACATAAAGAGGCACCTATTTCATTAATTGGTTTTGGATAAATTAAACACTAAATGTCTTTTTGGTTTCGATAAATTAAAGTTAATATTTGCATTTTCGTGCATTGCATTAGGTTTTATTCAGCTTAATTTAATCCCTTCATAAAGATGTCTCATTTAGATCATTTTACCTATCAAGTCTCAAGTCTCAATTATTTCTATTTGTCATTCTTTTAATACTCATTGTCATATAGAAATGACATCCTAATCCTTGTCGCTATCATCATCATCATCATCAAACCCACGTCCAATACACTCTTCCAAATTCTTCAGCTCCTTCGATATAATTTGCTATTCCTTAAGATCATGCGGTATTTCTTTAACAATATATTGCTTATAAAGAACGTGCATTCTGTAGCCAAATTTAATCTCGCAGAAACGGACAGTCAAACTTGGAAATTTTTTACATGGAATGTTGTTGTATGTAGAGGATAGAATTAAAGGCTTGTTAATCCTCAAACAAATTGATTTTGGTTATTTAAGTTATTTGTTTCATAGGTTCCGAAACTGGTTACAAGATAAGAATTTAAAAACGACATTGTACGACCGTTGGAATTTCAAATCAACAACGAAAAATACTAGTCCAAGGCCTAGTCCAGAAAACATTCATTGGGAAATGCTGAACACAATTCTTAAGGAGAATGTAACTTGTCATATTTGCAGAGTTTAATATGAGATTCATGCTCTATTCGCACCTTAGGAAGAAAACATCATTGCTTAGAGATTCTCATGTTTGCACTATTAGAAACATTTAGATTAAATTAATATTATGGACATCATATTGTGTTTTGGAAAGTTAATTTTGTAAATTTATGTAAACAATCTAGAAAGTATTGGTTTTATTGGTTCAAAGTTTCTGTCAACATGGTTTTTTTATACAATTATGTTAAAATTGTTTATTATTTTTTATTATGAGATTTGTGAGCAATGGTGTTGTCAAAATTTAAAATTGTAAATGTATGTAAATTAAGATTATCGTGGTAGTTACTTCATTTACACTCTTACAATTACTACATTTGCCCTCTAAATAGTCAATTCAGTTTCCCCCAAAACAAGTATAGTACGTGTATTTAATTTGGGATCATTGTACATGAAGAGACACCTATTTCAATTCATTAATTGGTTTTAGATAATTAGAAGATTGAATGTGTTTTTGGTTTTGATAAATTAAAGCTAATAGGACCCTCTTCGTTCATTGTATTAGGTTTAATTCATCTTAATCTATTCTCTTTATAAAGATGTCTCAATTTGATCATTTTACCTCTCAAGTCTCAGATCTCAATCTTTTTATTTGTTATTCTTTAAATACTCCCCGTCAAATAAAAATGTCATCCATATCCCTATCACCATCATTAAACTCACCGTCAAATACTCCTTCAAATTCTTCAACACCCACGACTGAATTCACTATTCTAGAAGATCATGCAATATTTCTTGAACAAGACTTATTTACAAAGAAAGTGTTGTAGCCAAATTTAATCTCGGAGAAACGGACACTCCAACTTGGAAATTTTTTACGTGGAGTGTTGTTGTATGAGGAGGATATAATTGAAGGCTTGTTAATGCTCAAACAAATTGATTTTGGTAATTAGGGTTATTTATTTCATAGGCTTCGAAACTGGTTACACGATAGGAATTTAAAAACGACATTGTACGACTTTTGGAATTTCATATCTACAACGAAAAATATCTACCCAAGGCCTAGTGCAGAAAACATTCATTATGAAATGTTTAACACAACTCTTAAGGAGAATGTAACTTGTCAAATTTGCAGAGTTCAATATGAGATTCATGCTCTTTTAGCACCTTACGAAGAAAACGTCATTGCTTAGAGATTCTCATGTTTTCACTATTATAAACATTTTGATTAAATTAATAATGTGGACATCAGATTGTGTTTTGGAAATTTAATCTTGTAATTTATGTAAAACAATCTAAAACGTTTTGGTTTTGGTTTTGGTTTTGGTACTGATTCTGAGTTTTTGTCAATGTGGTTTTCTTATATGGTTATTTTGAAATTGTTTCTAATTTTAATTATGAGATATGTGACCATTTGTGTTGTTGATATTTAAGATTGTAAATGTATGTTTAAGATTAACGTGGTTGTCACTTTATTTGCCCTCTGAATAGTCATTCCATGCATTTTCCCCCAAAATAAGTATAGTCCATGTATCTAGTTTGGGATCATTGTACATGAAGAGGCACCTATTTCATTCATTGGTTTTAGATAATTAAAAGACTGAATGATTTTTTGCTTTGATAAATTAAAGCTAATAGTTGCCTCTTCGTGCATAACATTAGGGTTAATTCAGCTTAGTTTAATCCCTTTATAAAGATGTCTCAGTTAGATCATTTTACCTCTCAAGTCTCAAGTCTCAACTCTCAATCATTTCTATTTGTCATTCTTTAAATACTCATTGTCAAATAAAATTGTCATCCTAATCCATATCGCTATCATCATCATCATCGTAAAACTTATGTAAAAT